CTTACCGTTGAGAAGTTTGCTGGATTGTGACCTTCTTTCCTTGGCCTTTAAACCAGCACTTTATAATTCCAAGGCTCCATGTTTGTAAGACTAAAAAATTAACCGTTCCTCCTTTCACCTTTAGTGCAATGCGTACTTCTGCTGGCTTTGTAGTCTCTGTATTCTTTGCTTTCTAAGACAGGTGAGTTCCAGATCTTACTGTCTGAAAATACACACTTCAGAATGACAGCAAGTCACGCCTTGGTGGAGAAAATAGTTTATACTGTGCTTAGCTTTATCTAAATTCCATTTAGAGCATGTCAAAGAGTCCATACCCAAGTTAGTCATTGCTCTTTGTGAGCATCTGCAAACTCAAGAATTTTCACAGATGAGTATGCATAATATAGGGCATAAAGAATATTACTCAAATTGTTAAAAATTAAAATGCTAAAGATTATTCCTAATTTCTCCCATAATATAGGGCATAAAGAATATTACCCAGATTGTTAAGAAGAAAAATTAAAATGTTAAAGATTATTCCTAATTTCTCCCAAGTTCATCTTGCTTCATTTTTTTGGCCTTCATTTCACATTTTAGATCCTTAGTTCCTAGTTTTATATAAACATGATCTGAAATAAAGAATAGAAAATTGGAAAGAAAAATGATTAAAAGTATGTGCTGTGGTTCTAGAGGTACCAAATCATTTTTTCATTTCTTGGGGGAAAAAAGTCTAACTTTTGAAGGAGATTTCATTTGTAAAATTGACTCTGTACTTTATAAGCAATGTTTAAATTCATTGGTGATAAATATGCATGTTGGTATAGTAAAATCCCATTTTTTACATAATGCTTTAATGGAAATGGCAGTTTTATGAAATGAAAGTGACTAGTAAAAATCTGAATGATGCTCATAAGCCCTTACATCATTTTTATTGAGGTTTTTGTATATTCTAATTCATTAATACAGGGAAAAAGGAGATCACTAACATGGTTTATTTCCTATAATTACTCAAATCGAGTATAATTTATTTTCAATAAAATTCTTAGAGTACATTGCCCAGGGTGGGGAGAAGAGGGCTGGCCTGTTTTTACAAAACGTCTAGATTTTTACTCATGAGACTTTGCTGTTTTAACAATGTTGTTCACTTGCGTGTATTTTCTGTATAGTTCCCTCTAGATTTTTTACAAATAAAAACCTATGTAAGTGCAAGAAATCCCAAACACTTAAAGGCTCAGGATTGAGTGTTGAGGGAGGAATCTGGATTATTTATTTATCCTGCTTAATACTACAAATATTGTTTGTCTTTTAATAATTTAGACTACCTTTCATGTGATTTATAATGTGAAACATTATTTATATTACTGTGTAATTAACTGGGGGGAATTTCCAAAAACCACTTAGTGTTTACAGTTAAATTTGGTTTATTTTTGTGGAATACCTAGAAGAAAAGGTCAGTGTAAGGGATAAACAAATACTTAAATTTTGGGGCACCCCTACCCCCAACTTCTTGAGGTAGGGCAAGGAGGAAGAGACACTACAAACGGAGTTGGAAACAAGTAAATATTCTTAATTTCATCACAGTGAAATCTTGCCAACAGCCCTATTTTCTGCTCCGAGTATACTTCAGACCACCATAGGAAAATCTGTAATTTTTTTGGATGTGATTGTGGGCCATTATGAATTCTTGACATTCTCATCTGAAGATGAGTCCATGTTCTTGAGACAGAATTTTGTTGAAACTAACAACTTTAAGTTCATATCTGGAAAACGTTAAGGCCTGATAGTTTTATAAATCACCATCAGATTGTCAGTACCCTCCCTCCCAGCCCCCACTCCCAGGGTTTATGTTTGAAAACTCATTCCTTTTCAGGTGTCTCTTTGTGTAGACACACAGCTTGTCTGTTTTCTTCTCCTTTGCCCCAGCACTTTGAGCTGTTTGAGCTGGAGCTATGCTTATGTGAGTTCTTGTGATTGGCCATTCTTCTGTAAAGGCCAGGGACTGTGTACATGCGTGGTGTGTATGCCATTGTGCGTGCATGAGTGTGTGTGTGTGTGTGTTTAATTGCTGTCTTTGACCCCAGAAAATCAGAGTTGTGTTTAGCTGTTCTTTTTTCCTTTTACCATTGCTGAAGTGATCTCCACTCTTAAACAAGCAAAGAGTCTTTTGCGGGATAAGTCAGATTGTGTGCTTTGTGGAGAGTGGAAAAGGGTAGAGGCGCAGGGAGCTGCTGCCCCCATAATCCGCTAAACACGTCTCAGCACCAGGGATACTGTTTCTCCCTTGATGCCCAAAACTTGATACAAGGATGGAGAGTTGTCAGCATGGGGTTCTTCCTCATTGTAGCTGAAAGCCTTCTTAGGCCACAGAGTACCTGCCCTCTTGGGTAAGCTTTTGGTCCTCAGTAAAGAGATGACTTTGAGTGTAGTGAGAGGGTTGTTTGTGATGGGCGTCAGTAGATGAGATGCACTGCCAAAGATGCTTTTTACCCGTGTCTGGCTACAACTGCACCTACAAAGTGCCTGATCCCAGAGGGCCAAAGGCAGGGCTTATTAGAAAGATAATCAAATGGAAACATTCTTTAGGCATGTCATTCTTGAAGGTGCCATTGCCCATGGAATGAGAATAAATTCTAGTGTAAGTAACTTAAAACCGTCAGTGACCCAGTAGTACAGTTGATTCTGCTATAATGCAACATACGCATTCCTAAAAATCATCATACCACATAAAATAGCAGGATAAACACTGGAGGGACTTACAAGAGGGAAATGAGGTTAAGTGCACAATGTTCAAAAACTTTGTTGGTCATATACACACACAGAGACAGGAGCCTAATCATGGTTTTACACACATTAAATGGGTAGGAAATACGGTATTGTATTTCAGTAAACATGGCACTTCACCTTGAAGAAGATGTGAAGTTTGCCTGTGGAGGTGGCATCAGAATAGTTGTAGTTTGTGAGTCACTGTCCAGTGGAGGAAGGAGGGCAGGTGGTGACTCTGGGTGTGGGTGGTTGTGGCTGCCAACCCACAGGTGAGCTGAGGTAGCTGAGAGGGGTTGAGGTGTGTGTAGGGGGTGTATTTTGTGTATTTGTAGGCAGCTTGGTTCAGCTGGATGCACTTTTCTGTGTTCATCTAGCATTTCTTGTAGACAAAATCATGCATAAGCAAATGTGAAATTTGTTTTATGCTCAGATTGTCCCCCTGATATGCACATCAGTCACAGTGGAACAAATTCACGATTTCAAACTAAGCTTTATGGCAGAACTGGCTATAGTTTATTTGATTTTGGAACTGAGTCCCTTTTCCTTTCTTCCTTTCCATCATTATTGATTTCTTAATTTATATTTAAGTTAAGCCCATATCAAATTGATTTTTTATACCCTGAGCGCTTCTGAAGGAGAGAAAGTAGCCTGAGATTTTAATTTTGCTAGTGCTTATCCACCAGGTAGTTCCCTCCTTGGTGAATATCTTTGCCTGCCTGCCTGTCTGTCTGTCTATCGTCCATCTAGATAGACACACACTGAGACCCTTACTAGATGCTTGGAGATACAGAATGTATTCTGTATTCTGGAGATACAGAAACTGGTAAGGTATCGTCCTTATCTTAAGGAGCTTAGAGTCTCATTGAAAATTTTTCAAGGCACAGATTTGAATGTCTTTTTGGGTTTCCTTAGGGAACGAATGAACCAACATTATCTATTTCTTGGTTTGTGAACATAGGAGCACACAGACCTTCCCACCCCACCTCCTACTTCTTTGTAAATGTAGAGATAGGAGTGAAGAGCTTGTGTGGAGGAAACACAAAGATATCATTGATTTACATGGTGAAAAGATGTCGATTTGAAAAAAGGTTGAAAAGGACTTAGGAGGTCTTGTAGTCAACCCTCCCACTGACTCCTTAATAAACCTAGTAGTCAGGTATCCACGGTAGAGCGGTAAATGGAAAAAAAGCAAGTTTCAGAGTAACGTGACTAGTATGATCCCTTTTGTTGTCTCCCCGCCCCCCATACATGTGTGTACGTGCTATTTGTATAAGCACAGATGATGTGAGAAGATCGCCCGTAGTAGTCACCTCAGGGGACAAGGGAAAGCTTATTAACTTCCTCTTTATACATCTCTTATTGTTTGCCTTGTTTTAAGAAGCATGTTTTACTTTTTTAATTAAAAAATCTAATAAAGAAGAAAATGAATAAATAATAATAATAAAAAATACCCTCCGGGCCCTGAGCTTTGTTTCCATCGTCTCAGTAGCCTGCGTGGTTATAAAACTGAACATCACATTCCAGGTGTGGGCTGCCTAGCAGGACTCCGACCTTGCTGTAGCTAACGCGGTGTTGGGGCGGGGGGTTCTGTGTTTATAGACCATTAACACTTTGAAGTCTTTTTTACACCTGCTACCCTTGGCACACTCTGCCCTTGGTAATTGTGGGACCCAAGTTTAATCCTTCAGATTCTGTTAGAGGTCATCTTATTGTGGAAATCAGTATTTAACATAGGTTAAGAACTGGTCTTGGATTGGATTCAAGCTGCCTGGTTCAGTTCCTAACTACCTACCACTAACTAGCATGAACACTTAGACAAGAAATGCATATTCCTGAGCCTCCGTTGTCTTCTTCCTCTTCTTCTCCTTTTTTTTTTTGTGGGCAGCAAAGCAAAGTTTATTGAGCGATAGTCTAAAGCTCCGGGAGACGGAGGGGACCTGAGAGGGTTGCCCGAGCCTCTGTTTTCTTATCGGTAAGATGACAATAACCATAAAGTTGTGAGGTTTCAAGGAGAGACTGGATGTTAGAATGCTTACCTAGATTGCCTGGTGGTGTGATGAGAACATGGTGAATTTCAGATGCTACTGTTAGTGCGTTAACGTCAGTTCCTTTCTCCCATCCGTGATAGTGAGCTAGTTTTGGATCTTGAATCTTCCCTTAACTGTATACCATATCCCTCCCCACCCCAGAACATAAATCAGTCAGTCTTCTAAACTTTCCTCATAAGGTCTCCAATCAGTCTCTGCTTCATTCCACAGGTCCCTTCACCGATGTCGTCACCACCAACCTAAAGCTTGGCAACCCAACAGACCGAAATGTGTGTTTTAAAGTGAAGACCACGGCACCACGTAGATACTGCGTGAGGCCCAACAGTGGGATCATCGATGCAGGGGCCTCGATTAATGTATCTGGTAAGTCCGGAGACTGGAGGCCAACGGGGGGGCTAAAAAGTCCCCCTAAAGCCAGTAGGATTTCTTAAAGTTTGCATTTGGTATAGCAAAATAAGACAATAGACTTCTCCCTGAACCCGCCACCCTCTGATTGAAAAGCTTAGTGGGTCCCACTCACCTGTTGGTTTTCCATAATTAAAGCCTCTTTGGTTTAATGCTTACAGCCTTCTGCACCTTAATAGTTACAGCAAAAGTAAAGTGGTAACTTCAGACTTTACTTCAGAATGAGTTTGGTTTTCACTGCCTTGAAATTAAATCTGCCCTTTGGCAATAAATAAAAAAGGGCTAAACAAACTTAATTTTACTTTGTGGGAGAATGCTAAATGGAGTTATTTTCTTATTTAAGCTAAATGGTTTCTGACATTAGGCTTGTGTCATTCCCAATGATTGGTAACTGCACTTTACTGATCGTGAAAAGCTCAGGGAGGTGAGGACTGAGGAGACTGGAATATATCCAAGGGCGAAAGTTTTGTGCGTGTCTCATGGGTTTTTCCCTTACAGTCTGAGAATGCATATATTTTCCAAAGTCCAGCTTTTGAAAAGATGCTGGTAAAGTGCCCAGATTGAGAATTGGATTTTAGAATTAAGGAGATGGAAGTGATGGGTTTGAGTTTAAATGTCTTTTAGAAATGGAATAAACTTTCAGCTCATTAGAACTTCTGGATCCAAGATGCCTTTTGTATTTGTGGAGGAGCTGTGGGGGAGTGTGTGTTTATCCTGTAAAAATCAGGAGACTTTGTGTCACAGAGGGTTCTGCATCATTAGAAGCTACTACTCATTGAAATGGGTACTTGACTGGCTTTTTCCATGACAGATTTTGATTGTGATGCATTTGGCTATTCATTTGACACCTAAAAGAAAATGATTCACCTCTTTGGAAAGATATAAGGTGTTTCATTATCTGATCATTTCTGTAAACTCTTATTCCCCACATCCATTGGTTTCTCTCATTATGGTGCTCCCACACCAGCTATACCCCTGTGTGCTTCTCTCTGAGGCTGCAAGACCTGATCTGGACTCTTGAATTGGGTTGTTATTCAGGAAGTCAGAAGGGTGAGAGCCAGATTTTATTGAGGGTCTCCTTTGTGCTGGGCCAGCACACACATTATCTCATATAATTTCTGTTATTTGGCCTGTGAGGAATGCATCATTACCTGCCTTGTACTAAGAAGGAGACTGGTGGCTATAGGCTCACGAACCTAGCAAGTGACACAGCCAAGATGTGGATCACTGTGTCTGGCTCCGAAGCCCAGACTAAAGTGCAGCGTGCTGGGGAAGGGAAAGGGTCTGAGGTGTTGGCGTTTCTGTACTCCTTGGATCCATATGGTTTCAGTTTTTCTGCTGGAATCAGGGGCAGCTGAAATCTTTATTCCCTTTTATTGACTTTGGTTTTCCTCTTGATTTCTTTGCCCATATCATATTTGAGCAAGGTTGTCAGTAGATGAGAATTACCAATTTTCAGGGTAAATAAGGGGGCAGCAACATAGTTTCTGAATAAAATAGTCTCAACAGGCAGTTGTACAGTGTAGGTGTGCTTTCCAGTATGAAATATAAATGTGTGTATGTCTCTTTCAGAAAGATTCATCCCTCCCCCAATCATAGGAATGGTTGTTTTGTTTTGTTTTGTTTTAAGATTTTATTTATTCATTTCTTTGAGAGAGGGAGCACGGGAACTGGGAGGGGAGGCGGGGGAGAGAGAATCTGAAGCAGACTCCGTGTTGAGCATGGAGCCTGATGTGGGGCTCGATCTCATGACCCTGAGATCATGACCTGAGCTGAAACCAAGACTCAGATGCTTAACCGACGGAGCCACTCAAGTGTCCCTATTTTTATTTTTTTTAATTAAAAAAATTTTTTTTGGAATGTTTTTTAAGGTAATAACCCTGGGCATTTGTTTTGATTTATAATGCCCTACTTAAGGAAGACCGAAGATTTTGTGGTTGTGGCCTTTCTTTTGCAGATAAGAACGGAAGGTACAGAGAGTGGGTGTGATTATCTAGGTCCACATGGGTGATTAGTGGCAGAGCTGGCACCTGAAACCAGCTCTGCTCCTGACTCGGTAGGTCTTCTGTGATATGAGGCTGCCTCAACAGTGTTAGAGGGTGGCCCCACTTACAGATGAATATAAAATTTTAGATAAAGTACCATGGTTCTCAAAATGTAATGTACTTGGGGGAAAGTAATTGAATAATAAAATGCCCATGTGTCTACAGGCCTGACTCCTAGATAAACAAGATTATGTTTGCACATGAGAAGGGCTCCCTTGTTATTATTTGGTGTGTATTTTTCGCACTGCTTGAGGTGCACCTAGGTGAAGCCAGGTGTCGCTGCATTTCTGGGACAGCATCTTCAGTTGGCAGAGGACACTGGTACCCATCTGCTGCCGTTTTCTGTGCTGAGGGACCAGTGTATAATGTATTAGACATTCGTATCTCAAGGTAAAAAGCACTGGGCTTTTTAAGGTCCTCTTAAAATGCAGCTATAGGATGACATCTTGGTGAGTACGTAGAGTTTCTAGGTTCCTTTGGGAGAGAAGATAGCCTCAGGACATGAAGGATACCAGAGGAAGGCAGTGCAGATTGTCCACAGGCCCGGTGGTACACATGGCCACGTTTGGTGTTACCCACTCTCCTCCGAGATCACTAGATTTGAGGTCTGGGAACCTGAACGGAAAGCTTAGTTGTGCTGTTTAGCCTGTTGGCCGATCTTTGTCCAATCTATTAATGTATCTAGGTTCTAGTTTTCTCATTTGTAAAATGGAAGGAATAGTATCCCCCTCACAGAGTACTTTGCAGTGCTGTGTGAACTGAGCACATGGCACAAGAGTGGGATTGTGTTATTTTCCCACTAGCTTTGAGAACAACTGTTTTTGTTGAACATGGATTGTACATATTTGAATTGCCTTTTTAGAAATAAATTAGTTCCATACATTTTATTATTTGACTTTTTCTAATTTTAAGAAATGTGTATTTTTTCTTTCTATGATACGCATTTGTTTTCTAATGAAAAGCCACTAGTGAATTTTCAAATATAATCCATAAAAAGGTGGCCATCAGTTCAACTTAAAATACTACCAACATGGCCCTCTCACACAGAATGTCACAGCATACCCGCAAATGGCATGCCTAGTGCATTATTTCTCTCCCATCTCTGAAAACCCTTGGGATGTGCTAGCTATTAGGGGAGGTTATAAATCATTCTTTGGGAGAGGGGGCAGGGAGGGAAAGAAAGAGAGGGAGGAGGAGGAGACCCACCCACATAGCTGGCCAGGGGGCTGAGGTTTTGAAGGCACACAAATCAGGGTTGTGTGGGGGGCACGCGGGGAGACTCTGTAGCTGTCACATACCTTTCTGACACACCCTGTGAAACTCCTCAGCTTTTAGGTAGGCTTGACATATTCAGGGGAGCTTACATTGTGTGTCAAAAGTCCAGACTCCGACCTGTCATGTTATTTTCTCCAGAAGGTGGCAGGTTACTTACTGAGTCCTTAAAAAATAACAGCTGTGTTTTAAAAACTTAGGTGGTAAAGTAATGGCTGGAAACAGGCATAACCTAGACTTCTTGTGTCTGTAGGTGAAAATGTGTGGATTTCCCAAGGGGATGGTTTGCGGTCTGGTCACCTGGGTCTAGGATGGGAGTCCTTTTCTTTGTCCTTTACGTAGGTGCTCGCTCCATCTCATCTCACTCTTCCAGTAGCCCCTTCTGCGGTCTGTGCCTGTTGGATGAGGCAGTGTGTAGGTGAGGGGGTGCAGAGTGCTTTCTGTTTGCATTAATTGGCCGAGAATGCCACGGTTTTGGCCCTTGCTCCTTGATACACACCATCTACTAGAGATAGTTTTGAATTATTCAAATCTGGACCTCAGCAAAATAGCCACACTTAAATGGAGATTGGAGAAGAGGAGATTGGATTTCCCCCCCCTGAGATTTTAAATGCAAGGAAAATAGAACTTTTTGAATTAATGAATTGTTTGAAGCAGTGGGGGCTCCCCCCATTTGTTCTAGCTTTACAAAATTAAATCTATTTTCTCAACTGTCTGGTGGGAAAATATTTTTAAGGTAGATAATTTCTGAAAATGTCCTTGTGGTAAGCTGTTAGTGGTTGTGGATTTTTTTTTTTTAATACTGCAGTTTAATAATGAGGGAGTTTTCCATTAATATTCCAAACCATGTTTGCCAGCGGATACAGCAGGTGAAGTGGTAAAATTATGGGCCCATCAAAAATACTTATGCTTCCTGTAATATGATATTAAGTTTAATATTTTTATAACCTTCACTGAATTCTAATTTCACTAAAGTAGCAAGCATGCTTCCATTTGCAGTTCAATTATGCACATTGGTTGCCTTTGTACCAAGCAAATTAGAAATGCAAAATATCTGTATGTGGGGGGGTGGGCATTGGAAAGAGTCATTAAAGATACCAATATTTAGGTACAGATACACTTTACTAAGTGAACCCTGGGAATTGAAAATGGATTAAAGACAAACAAACACAAATCTACTAGTGTCTGAATCAGTATTTTAAATTAAAATTCAAAGAATTAAGGAGCAGTGTTCACTTCTGACACACAATCCCTTCAGCACTCCTTTCAATCACATGTTAAAGCATAAAGTTCTTCCAGTAAAATCCTGAGGACAGAGAATTCATAGCTCTTCTTGGATGGAAACATTGGTCAATTAATGTAATTGGGTACTATTGCAATTGATAATTAATCCTTTTAAGATTTTGCTGACTCAGTTTAATGGAGCTGCTTGCCTGCCCTGGACCAGGCAACCTTGGGCTGCAGCTTTTACGTGATTAGCACCAGCGTATAAGTGCACTGCCCTTAGAGAAAGAAGCCAGGCATTCATCTGTCAAGTGCTGATAGCAGAAGCTAAATTTGGGGGGTTTGGGCATCTTAACAGCAACATTCTTCTTTGTTTGATCACTTGCTTTGGAAGTCTCTGATAAGCAAAACCTTTTT